CTGTGGAGGGGGGTGAGGAAACCAGCCTAAAAAAAAATTTCTTTTTTTTTTTTTTTTTTTTGTAAATCAACGATAGCAGGGACAGGAAAAAAACCAATGGGAAGGTGCCAGTGGGGCCACTCTTTTTTATTTCCCTCCTTACCTCAGTGGATTCTCAAGTGCTTTGCTGCTGTCAGATCAAAGGGTCGCTGTACTTCAGTCAGCATTACAGCTCTTAGATCTCACCTGCCTCTCACTGGAATCACGGGCTTTTGCTGACGTGGGACGCTGTGTCAAACAAGCACCATGAATGCAAGGGAGAGTAATCACACAGGGGATGGGGACAGGTGCATTTATGAAAGCTGTTCGGCGAGGTTTGCGCATTTTTACTGTTATTTATGTATTTAAAATAGGAAATAAGTTTCTTGGGTTGTTGACACACGTTTCTTCAATGTTTCCTTGGCTCCAGCCATCAATTACTGCAGTGTTAACAAGGGGGGCTGTGAGCAGGAGTGCGTTCAGCTCAGTGAAGACCGATACAAGTGCCAGTGCCAGCCGGGCTACCAGCTGAAGAGGGATGCCAAATCCTGTGAAGGTAAATTCTGCACTACCTGCCTGGAGACACACATTAAAGCCAATTTAAAAGACCCAGGATGGTGCTTTGGGTCGCTGTATTCGTTCATATTTCACCCTGCTTGCCAAAAGCAGCTTTAGGAATCGCTTATTAACAGCATTAAAATGACACGTGTTTGAGGTGTGAAGTTCACGTTGGTTCACAACTTTGAACAAGATTTTGGCCTCATAGACTCCTGGCTGTTTGTTGCACACTGACGATGATGACATAGGTTAGGAACTTAATCATGTTTTAATTCTAATATTTTATTACTTACCAAGTTGTATATAGAGTTGGCCTGTAGAACATGTTTTATTCTACATAAAGTCTTTTCTTTATCTGCTTTTGGCTTATGTTGCTCCTAATCGCAGTCTGATTCATTCATCCTCCCCTTCAGGTTTCTAAGCAAACACTCTCACAAGCAGAACAGAAATGCTACCTTTGGGTTTGATTATTGTTTTTTTTTTCTCATATATCTTAACATATTCATCAGTTTTTAAGGCAAATCCCCCCCCTTCCCCAACACAAGCGCGCGCACACATGGTACCCTTGAATATGCCAGAGAAAGGTAGGGCCAAATTTATGGATTTATTGCACTAGAATTCCTGTCACAAAACCGCTTCCATATGGCTCCTCTTCTGCTCGGAGATTTTATATGCTGTGTATAAAGTGTAAGTAAATCCTGCTGTTCAGCTTGCTTCCAACTCATGCTGTGTGCAACGAGCGCTTGGCCTTCGGTTTTGGCCTCCCTGAGTCCTGCCCTCCGCAGAGACTGCACATGCTGCGCTTCAGCAAGCATCCGCAGCCAGCTCACCTCTCCGTCTCTCATGGGGTGGCCACGTTTTGTCCCTGAGATTGTCAGAAAGAGTCGGAAAAGAGGAGCATTAGAAGGGAGAGGGTGTCAGAGACCTTCCTCCGCTGTTCTCCAGCCCGTTTCCAAACCTTTCACGGCTCCTTCACTGCCTCTGGCACTCAAGATGTCCTTGGCCAAGCCAGCTGGGTGTGTGGACCCCTGCATAAAACTTTTTGGTGTTTTTAATGGTGGTGTGGTGGGACGGAGGTTGGATTAGCAGGGTCTGAGTGTGGCGATGCCTGGACGGGTGGGAGTTGTCCCTTGGGTGGTCATGGAGCAGTTCAAATCTTCATGTGCCACTTTGTGCCCTGGCTCCAACTCAGCAGCAAAATGAGCAGGCTCGGTCCCCTAATAGGTGAGGTTTTGCCACTGCATAGGCAGCTGGGGCTGAGGGTCAGCCACCCGCCGAAGGCAGCAGTTCATCACCAGCCAGTAATTACTGAAGAGTGGAGAAGGGGCAAGGTCAGCTTTGTCTGCGGGTGAGACCTTATTTGGAGTTCACGTGTACGCCTGGTTACCTGTGTTCAGGGTGGTGTAAATCAAAATATAATAGTGCAACACCTCCAGGAGGACAGCTGTGGTCAGAGGAAAGGGAATCTGTCTTAAGGGGAGCTCAGCTGGCAAAATGAAGACCAAGTAGGATGCTTTTCTCCCATAAATACCTTAGCGAATAAGTACCTGGGAGAGAAAAGTGCTAGTTAAGCCAATCGACAAGATTTTTACAGGAACAAATGAGCATAAATTGGCCGTGAATACATTTGGGTTGGCTATTAGAGATGTTTTAAGTAGAAAAGGTGGGAGGAGGTGAGCCTGGCTGCTTTCAATTTCCAACCAGAAAGGATGGCTGCTGTAGCGCTAGTTTGGATGGAGAAACTACAGCATCATGAGGGTATTTACTACAGCAGGCGTAGCTGTGCTGCAGGTGTGGAATCATCCTCGCTGCCTCCTTGGGAGCTAATGCTGCACCCCATAGCCCTGAAAGGCTGTACAGAAACACGCAAGCCTAGCAGGGTGGGGCAGCCTTCAGCATGGAGGCAAACCGATGAGGTGGTGTGGCATCAGACGAAGTGGTGAGATGGGGGTGAGGCATGTATGGATGTGGTCAGCAGTGGCTGTGATACTTGTGTAAGAGAATGGGCTGTGTAAGATGTCTGCTAGAGTGAATTCCTTGTTGGGTTATCCAGGGATGGTAAGAACAAATACCTTTCTCAAGCCACTTTGAGCTTCCCTTCTATAAGTTGAAGCTATTTCCACCCCTAACCTTCCCTGCATAAGAAGGAAATTTTACTCCTTACCACTTCGTATTTTCCCCAGTGTAAAGTCATGGTTGCTGTGAGCAAGAAAATTAACTTGATAAGGCCCAATTCTCTTTCTTTAGGTGCTCTGGAGGTCATGGCAGACAGGACTGGAGACCCTGTTCTTTACAGCCTTGCAGTGAAGGTCTGGAAGGTCCGCAGCACATGCAGAGCCCATACTCACACTTCACCAAGCACATTGCTGCCATCCTAGATCAATGCATTACCATGGCTTTTTCAGATGAGGTTTCTGGATGTCCTGGGACATTTCGAAAATGAAACTGTTCCAGTAAATTTTTTGCCATAGTGTTTAACAGCTTGGAATAGAGCTTCGTAGGATAGAGTCTGTTATCCACTAAAGTTATTAAGTCAAACAATAAGAGCCAAATGTGTGGGAAAAAGAACACTAATGAGTTATTTTTAGCTTTTCCTGAAACCTGCCTATAGCAGGAAGGAACAGATATGTCAGTGGAAAACAAGTCAATCAGTGGTCACCTTATGTCCTGAAGATCTTTCCTTTGCAAACTTTTCTCTTGTCTAAGGATTTCCAAGGCTGCTATCTTTATGCGAATTACTATGTTTTACTAACATCTACCATATAATTTGTTGTTTGCTTGTTGTCATGTCACAGACTATCACAAGTTTTACTGTATGCTGTAATCATTCTCAAATTAAAGCTTTAGATGATCTGAAAACCTTTATAATATGCAGGTTTAACATGCTGTTTGATAGTGATTTCATTTAATATATCCAAATACAAAAAGAATCAGCAAATAACTCAGTATTTCATATCAGCAAGGAACGAGTTCTTGCTTGAAGCTAAATCCTTTGCAGAGCAGAAATTGTCAAACTGCAGAGCCAAGTTGTCAGCCTTGAAAGTGTCACGTAGGGTAAAGTGCTGCTCCCCCTTGGAAACCTATTTGCAACCTATCATGTTGAAAGTCCAACAGAAAATTTCAGTTCTACATCCTTAACAGTGGTTTGTTTTTTGTTTTTGTTTTAAATACTGTCAGGTCAAACTTTCAGCCTGCAGCCTTGAATGGTTATGTTCTTGAGATGCCAGGAGGTAAAACGAGGGAATTTGAAGGTGTTCTGGGGCAATGTCCTTTGCCAAATGGTGGCAGAAAATGCCACTGGCTATCCAGAAAAGTGAAAATTGGAGGAAATGAAAAAACCCCCACCCCATATTTAAATGTATCTCTATAAAATAGAGGTCGGTCTTTCCAATTCCCTTCTCCTGCATAGCTCTATGCATGTTATGTGGTTAGCCACTGGAAGAGAAAAGCAGCAAGGTCTAGAGGAAGACACCTTCAACAGTTCCCCAGGGTTACCAAAACCCTGACGCCACTGCTGTTGCTGTTGAACTGATGGTGACTTTCCTACTGGTGCCCCTGTAGAAGTTGGCTTGTACAGAGCTTGAGATGGCCAGTGAAGGAGATGTCAGGCTGGAGGCGAGTGAGGAATACTGGCCAAATGCCTCACATCAGACAGTAATTAATAAAATGCTAAAACTGAATTAGAGCTTGATATGTACAGAAATAGGCTTAAATTTTAAAAAGCTTTATTTGAAACTAAGAAGAACGCTAGAGGACACATTTTCAAAGGCGTCCTCCAAATTTGCCTATATAATGTTATTCACCAGCATGTTAGTACTCCAAAATGAAACCTCAACCTTGGGCAGAATACCAGATTTTTATATGAAAACTCTGGCTCTTAACTCAAATCAGACCTGTCCAAACAGTCCCACTAGGTCTATTTTTGTGTGTGCAAAGTTTTTATTTGGGCAAATGCTTCAGTACACTTCCAGCAGGTATGTGTTTCTGAAATAAACCCATAAAACACAGTGAAATCTTTGAGGTGGAGACTTCTGCAGACACTTTATAAATAGCGTTTCTAAGTACTTGCCACTTAGAGCTGGCTTATCCTTGAAAAATTGTATGTTATTGTTCAAAAAAAGAAAAAATCTTGATGTACAACACAAATGGCATATGTTTTTAGATTGAATGAGGTCTTTTGGGGCTCTTCAGCATTTATTTCCTCTAGAGACTTTTAAATACACATTGTTCCACGGCGAACTCCACCGTTGTATGTGTTTCTGGGTCCACACATATTGGAGTGCTAATTGCTACTGTTTAGAGCAACTCTCGAAATCTGCTCAGTTACGGCAAAATAAGGATAAAATGTACTTTTCTTGTCCTACATCCAAGGTGTAATACGAGCCCAGTTTCCCACTGTTTAAAGCATTGCTGGTGCTCTATGAAAAAGGCTGTCCAGCAAGAGAGAAAATAGCACACAGGAAAAACAACGGCTTTAATATAGACCAAATTCTGTCAAATATATATATTTTTTTCGGTCTAATCTCTTACAGCTACAGTAATCTTCGTTGCTAGTTGTAACGATGGCAGGTAAGACCATTTACAGACAAAAACGTGACCTTTAAGTTGACAGTGTGCTCTAATTGGTTTCAGTGATAGACCCTTGCACAAATGGGAGTGGAGGATGCTCACAAATCTGTCAAAATGAGAGAGGAATTGCAAAATGCAAGTGTCATCCAGGGCATTATCTTTCTGCAGACAAAAAGACCTGTTTGGGTAAGAAACTATGGACTATTTGCTGGGAAGAGAGGTATCAATCAGTGCTCTGGCTTACTGAGCTTTGAAAGGAAAGGAATATGTTATACAAATATATGTATGCATTTTGAAACAGCGTTTCTCTCTGTGATATTTATGTCAGCCAATAGTCTTGAAGGACCATTTTAGTAATGAAAATTACTCTGTGGTCTCTTAAATCATGCTTTCCAGCAAGTGGATTTGTAGATGCTGTAGTGTTATTCTTGTAGGGTCCCTTTAAAATAATGCCCCAGATACAGCTCCTGGAAAATTGGTTCAAGTAACACTCTGAACCAGGTCACTGAAAAGCTATTTAGAATTCAAAGGGCTTTTTGGCTGGAGAACTGTTTCCATATTAATAGAGAAACTACTATGAAGGAAGAAATCATGAAGCCTAAGATTTCCAAAGAGAGGAGCTTAAAAAGTTGAATTCCAAAGTCCTGTATATAGTCTAGGATTTTCAAAAGGATCTAAAGCATTTCTGACCTGAACTGTGGGGGAGTTAGAGACCAAAATACTTGCTTTTCTCTTTCAATATGATGCTTGGAAGCTAGATAGTTCATCAGTTTTATGAAGTGCAAAGCACCTGTGGACTTCATGGTGTACAGATTTTTACCAGCCTTGTCAGGATCAGGGTATGTATTCAGACATTAATTTTAAACAACTCCTCTTGAAAACTTGGCCAAAATTTTGCCCATACTTAAATTGTTGTCTTACCTATACAGAGTACTGGGTGCTTTGCAAAGTACTTACTTCCTACCCTGAGTGTTTTACTCCGTTGCCTGTAAGCCCTTCTGCAAGTAGCATTGCACACCTCAGTGATTCCCCTCTCTTACTGGGATTACTCATGAGTAAGGTTACTGAAAAAGCAAAGTATTTTCAAGTAGCGTAGACACTTCACTGATCATAGAATCATAGAACCATTAAGGTTGGAAAAGACCTCTAAGATCGAGTCCAACCGTCAACCCAACACCACCGTGCCCACTAAACCATGTCCCTAAGCGCCTCATTTACACATCTTTTAAATACCTCCAGGGATGGTGACTCCACCACTTCCCTGGGCAGCCTGCTCCAATGTTTCACTACTC